GGTAAAAATGTGTGAAATGCTATTATATTATCTAAATAGATAAAACAACAATAAACGGATATGAATGTAAAAAATACAAACTAAAAATAGACCACTATCAAACAAGTGAACTCTGATAGTTATAGACCACAAAACTTAGGACTTCTCTATAATTCTTTAGTGATAGATTGCTCTTTAGTCACACGAATTCGACTGGATCCAAACAGTATTCTGGCAGTGATAAATTTGGATATTGAGCTGCTGGAGGTGCAACCAATATCAGTTATGATTTTATAGTAGTCAAAAATAGACCACGATAATCCAGAATGTGAAAAATTATTTCCACGTTATTTGGGGAGATTGTAACGTCCTACACGAAGCGCGCGGGGTAAAGCAGACTCATTTGGACTTAGGTGTCATAGTTAGCCACGACTTAAAAGCTACAGCACACTGTCGCCCGGTGGCTGCACGTAGTTTCAGGTCCTCACAGGCAATCCTCAGAGCTTTTACTAGAATCACCAGGGATATGTTCACCTCCTTATATACATCTCTGGTGAGGTCAAAACTGGAGAACTGAATCCAGGCCGCCAACCCTTGTCTAAAAGGGAAACGTTCTAGAAAAAGTTCAAAGGAAGGCAACACGTATGGTTCCCGGCATGATTAACTTACACCAAATATGCAGAAGAGAAGAGAAAATTTAGTAACATTTATGCTGTTGCTTTGATTTATACGGTTAGATGTTCTTCTGAAGTAGAGAAATCATCTCATGAACTTATCTTCAGAGAGCTTATGTCCAAGCTGTGGCATTCAGGGAGTTTTTATCTTTCGTTTTGTTGGAGTTATTCAAACTCCGGAACTTTAACGGTAGGGCGCTTTCCCACATATAAGGTTCTCCCAAGACCCCACCATCATATCCGTTGAATAGAAGTCGCCACCCTCCCACACAAATATGTAGAACGTATATGGTCTGCCTTCTACCACGTGGCAAGTGTTTAATGGCTAGGTAGATTGTTGTCGAGTTCGCTGAAGTTAGAGTGTCTTGTTTCTGAAACATTAGACTTTTCGGAAATTAATGCAAATGGTTACCAGCCATTGTGAAGTGGTTGATTTAGGGCTGCTGCTATGGCCATATCAGGTACATCTAGCATTACTGAAAGAGGTGCCTCTGTATTGGGCCATTTTAAGTTTGTAGCCCGCTCTAACTTATCTTCCAGTTGTCCAGAGATGCAAGATGCTCCTTGATGACTGAAGAACTCTTGACTTTCCCTTTGGTGCGTCAGTCAGTGACTGCATGTACTGTACAGTTAGTTATGGGACATAGAAGTTGATCAAACCTTGGAAACCTCTGAGTAGGGGGAGCGAAGTGTGTAGGGAATACAGCTTGGTGGTATTGACCGCTTTGCGTATTGGTGTAATCCCAGTTCTGTCGGCGATATGTCTTAAAGTCTTTGTTGTTAATTTCCCCAAAATGCATTCACTATAATCACTTATCACGCCGTTTCCATCCAATTTTTGTTATGCTGCCCAAGTGTAATAACTCTGTGTTTCTATCACGATTAGCGACCGCATCGTCTATGTAAGTCTTGTCATACAGCAGTTTACGCAACAAATCATCAGCGAATCGCTGTAAAGTTGACTATTCGGTCGTCAGATAGTCCCCAAATTGAGCATGTGGTTGAATTACTGTTTCTCTTTTTTGGTTTTTCTGTGGCTGAAGTCCATGACTTTGCGAAAATCCGGGTCATTGCATGTGTAATTTTTGGATCAACCACGGAAGCCTTAGTACTGGTTGCCATCATAGTTTGAAATTCCTTTGGTATTTTCTAGGATATTTGAGTTGATAAAGACGCGATTCGGAATAAAACCAGCGAGTTGTAATCGCTTTCTTTGCCTTTCACATACCCGGACATTTCTTTCATTGTTTCTTCCATATACTCGCTAGCAGGTAACACGAATCTTAGAGGTTTGTGCTGACTATTGCTAGATCTAGGTTAGCGATGGTGAAGACCCATAAGAGCTACTTAAACCTACGGTCAAGTTTCAGTTTTCTCTCCGGATATGCGCGTTCTGAGTCCCATTATCCAACAGCCAGGTTGACAGTCGGCATTTGTCCTTTCCTCCTGGCCTTCGTTTATAGTGTTATGTTCAGTGAAGTTCTTATATTAACCAGGAAGTCTACAGCATAGTTTTTATCCTTGACGTTGAACAAGTAAACAACTGACCACCTCTGCTCAGTAGCCGCTAACAGAATAAAGGCCACTTTCCCCTGCTGCCTGTGGATTGGACCAGACTAGGTGCACTGCTACATGCACTCATTTGGTTGTGGTCCAAATCACTAGTGATGACAACGGAATTGCCCTGTTGACCCTGTATGCCGTCAGCTGCAGTTTCTGAGTTTTTTCGGTAGTTCACATTCCCTTCCATGAGTCGCCTTCCCTCCCTTCCTCAGTCTGCAAAGAGTAATTACTTTTAGAGTATGGAGTCGAGATCTTAATCATCCAATGCATGTTTCACATACTCTAGGGAGGGGCTCATATCCAGTCTTGCTGAAGTGCACTTACCCCCACTAGCTTTTGCAGGCGGCAGAAGAAGTTTAATAGCGGCCTATCTTTCATGGTCCACATTGAATAACTGTTGTATGCACTGGTTACCAGGCCCCAAGAGATGGTTTGCCACCTCATCCTTAAGTGCAGTGTACTCTTACACAGGCGGGGGCATGAAGTATCAGTTCTCACATCCCATTGTTGATGGGATATGGTAATTCAGAATATAAGTCATTGAGCTGGGCGTTTCCAGATTTAAATATTGACTTACTGCTGTAACCGAACAAACCACAGTCCAGGGTAGTGTCTAAAAATCTCGGGTATCTCAGCTTCCGTGATCAATAAGGAATCTATCTCCGCAATAAATGTATTTTAAGTGGGATTTCACTTTCGATAAATTAGACATCATAGTTGATGAGGAGTAGAAACGCACATGCCGCTAAAATAAGGTAGGTCTTGATTAATCCAGATAATAGTGAAATAAACAGACAGCCTATTTGAACAACTCAGGCTTACCAGTTTGGTAGCCACATCTCGGATCAAAATAATCACTAAAATTACACGTATGGACATGTATTTTGAAAGCGGAGCGGGCAAATGTAGCCAGACACACGGAGGGGTATTCACCATTCACTACTGCTTAATAGAGAAAGGGAACCACACAAATCATAAAGATATAGTCACCAATTTTTACCCGATTTGTCCCTCTTTATTCACCAATCACTGAGTGAACATGTCTTTGGTAGTATATTTTGTTGCAGAGACGCTGCCCTTAACTATTAACATTGATCGATTTCTCTATTTTTACTAGAAGGAGTGTAACATGCATGCTATCATCGCCTGTTTGGCTTTAAACTTTGAGATAAGTTCATGGTGGTTCTGCCGATTACTTTCAGTGACGGAAATAGACTTAAGGGAAAGGCAGAAAAACCCACAGTAACAAGGCATTTACCACTCAGTCTACACAGGCGTCGTCGTTGGTGACTGAATAATAAATCAGTGAATGTTGAAGTGGTGTTCTTAGGTGTAAATACAGAAGTCACCTCCGAGGTTGAAAACGGGCTGAAGTTATCTTATTTTCCATACAGTTTTTCTTCTACACAGACGGTCTCTAATTCTTCTGTTCCTATTGTTGTCAGACCATATCATCCTTTGAAGGATCTTATTATTGTTTTTCATCCAGTGACATTACTACCCTAATTTCCCTCTCCACTTATCGACTGTTTCATGAGAGCTACTCCTTAAAAACTAGAAGGGGTCTCTATGAAGACACTTTTTGTTTTACAAAGAGGAGAAGAAAACAGAAGTACTCGGTGTTTCTAAAATCCCCCGATATATGAATAATTACGTGCAAACTACCAGTTAATCTGTGAAGGGGGTATTACGCGAAAGTCCAGTGATTCCAGATCATGCCTGTAAAAATAGCATGGATTTCTTATAAACTTACGTCGATACGAAATATAAATTAAAATTAGAAAAACTACTATTTGAATATCTGCAAATTCATCAGAAAATCTTACTTTTTAGATTTACCTTCAACATACTGCCGCTTATTCTTTTTGTAGTATTTTTTCTGACCGGAAAAATGTCGGTTTCTCTATGGGAATAGGCATTACTTCCTACTTGGATTTCAAGTGAAATTGTGAATTGTTGAGTGAGCGACCCTGAATTTAAGTGCCCATGAAATTGAAGAAAGCGAAGCGACCAAAAATTACATCAGAGGGACAGAATTCAGCCTTGGAAAAAATGTATACTAGGGAAATTATATTAGATACAGAGGATTTAAGTAGAATGTAGTTTCAAATATGACTGTTTATAAAACAAGGATCCCATACATGAAAATTGCAATCGGCAGAGAGTGTGGTGGAAAGTGCAGTGAACTAAAAACGAACTCGTTGCACGAAAAATTGTCGCTTGTGAGACAGATTTCAGTTCGTACAAGGTAGAGAACAGGTTTTACCAGAGAATACTTAGTTTACGTTATACTAGAATGAACATAGAGGTAAGAAATTCTAATATGCTAACAGGTGAGAAAGATTGGCGAGATAATAGTTGTGCCTGAAGAAGGACATGCCTAGTCGAAGACAGTTTTATGGATTTTTAGTGTCTGGGGGTTGTTAATACTTAATTATTCAACACGTACATTTAATTTCAAAAACTTACACTCAATAAATTCAAGGGATATCCTTACTTTCCACCGTCTTAAACTCTCTTGGAAAAATAAGCTTTTAAAAACAGTGTTTCCTAAGTTCTACATGGTACAAACAGAAACACCATACGTATGCTACACAAGTGAAACAGGCAGTGAACTTTTCATTTAAAATGTTAAGACTTACCCGGTGATTTCTGTCAGCCCAGTTAAGATATCGTGATTAATTAACATTTTTGGGATCTTTTAAAGTTTCTTCAGGCACAATCACTGATTCAGTTAGTTTTGCTTTTAAAAATGTATATTGTAAATCGCTTTCTTGTTTTAGTAGTTAATGTAAATACCGCGTTGTTTATACGTTTCGTATTCACCGTATATGGATTATGTTTATATCCTGGCCCCTCTGGGACTTGGCGTAATTCTAACTTTATGCAGTACAGGATACTGCATATATATTCGTTACTCTAAACGTAAATTAACCGAGCGTATAAGAAGGCAAATGCTTGCTAAGATGATAGGGGGACCAGATGCGTCTGTTCAAGATTTTCAGTGGTATCCTAAAATGATAACCAGTGGTATTTCGACGTATCCAAGTCGAAAATCAAACGTTTCCATATTTCAGTCAAACGTTAACTCATATCCAGTTCAACCTCCATCAGATATTTTTGTACAGAAAGTTGGAAGGGAGTTATACGCTTCACTTACGCGAACTACGTAAGTCATCCATAAATGTGTAAATATTCACTGAAATTTTTGGCTGGTAAATAGTCAGTGTTTTCCTCTAGACATATATATTTTATTTGTATTCTCTTTAGCGCCATGGCACTCGGATAAAGCTAAGAGGAGGGAACTCATCAGTCAATAAAGGCGTAATGTTATGTTGACAAAAAGCAAACCAACATTGTGAAACATAGGAAGTAATACGTCACCTGCTAAAAGGTGGGGATGGACGACAAAGTCTCCTTTATTTCCCCTTTCTTGTCCATTGAGCTTCCCATTTTTGTCGCTCTTTTAAACGCTCTGTTCCCCTTTTTGTTCGATTCGTCATATATTCAAAATCCTGGGAAATGTATCAGGTTCATGGGTTCGCTATATCACGTAGGTCGAAATACCTCATAGGACATAAAAAGAGAGTTCGAAAGCCAAGAGGGAACTATATACTCTTAGGGTACTGATTCTCTTACTGACCCATTAACATTTAAGATCTTGTTTGCAATATGGCACCAAATTATACTTAGTTGCGCTGTTGATGTGCGACACCACGCCAGCCCTAACCAAAAGGAACATTCCTAATTGCTCACTTAGTCAGCACACTATCTCCTGGCCTGTAAGTGCCGATAACAAAACACTAGCTAAAAGGATTTGGCTACTTAAAAAAATATGCTTCTATCAGCAATATTTAAACATAGTGCAATTTTAAGGTTATTCTAGGGGAAAGGTTTTAGAACCTATCTGGCTGGCATGACTGAATTGCGTACTTTAAGGATGTGTGTTACCAACATAGAGAAAGTACTCAAATTGACATCAGAGCCTAGTTAGATAAGTATGCGTATGCGAAACCTAAAACATATAAAGGATATGTAGGTGGCCTAGACGTTAATTTAGTTAACGTTTATTCAGCTAAATCTGTTTTAGCATTAAGTTAATATGTGTACCATGGAAAGTACACTATAAACTCTTGGAATCGACCCGCAGAAAAATCTATATCTGCGTCTTCAGTGGATTAGTTTGTGAAGAGATTAGACGAGCGCAGATACTTATTAGAAAAGGATTAATGTAGGCTTAAAGCTCTCTATTCTCAACCGAAATCTTGAACATGAAGTCATATGAAATTTCATTTTTTGTCTGTTTTATTCAACCAGATAAAAAGTGTAACCACCTAGAGTTATAAAGCATTTTCAGATTTTTGGTTAAGCCTGTATTAATGCTTTTCGATGTATCTGTCTTTGTCTCATGCTTAATTGTACAGTTCAATTTAGGGAGTCGGTTACAAGAGTTAGTGGCTCGGTGAAAGAACTAGTACTTTACAGATTTATTTATCCTTATTTTTTGCACTCACCTGCGACGTTCTGTGAGATCTTTCAACCTGGTGAAAAGGACAAGGGAACATAGAACTTTAGAAATCATAATTAGTAGAGATTCAAACCATTAATTCGTTCTTCATATGAATAATGGGTCATAGCAGAAATCGTAAATGCAGCTCTCCTCAGCACTGTTTCTAGAGTGTATGAGTCCTCTGTTTGGCAAGAGCTGTCGGTTTTCTAGCTTTGAACTCACCAGAACTTTGGTTAGCATTTCACTGGTGATTCTGGACTAGGTACTGCATAGTGTTTATAAGGACCTAAAGCTGCCACTGTGTGAGTGTACTCTATTTGTTAAGTCGTCACTTAGGATGACACTGAGATCCAAAGCCTCAGGATGGTCGGGGGTGGGTGCCTTGCGCTGCGGGTTGGCCACCCCTCCGAACACCTCTTGAAATGCTCCCATATGACCGGGCGTCTTACATAGCCTCTCCTGAGGAAGTCCTACTCACTGCCTTCACGTGGCGGAGGTGCTTTTCACCAAAGTGAGAGGGCGAAAGCGGATGCCCGGCGCTCTTCACCAGGTTGACTGTCCATTGGGTGACAGTCTAGGGGAGATGGCTAAACCCTGATTCCAAACCTCCAACGACTGGCGTATGAAGCTCACTGGAGCTCACCGGCAGACGTATGGACAAAGGGCTTGTTGGATGTCCTGGATGTCTGGCCCCATTCAAAAAGGCGTATGAACCGAACTCCGGTCACCGGCTGACAATGGATAGTGGACTCCCTACTCCACTCCTACTGCCTTGTAGGTCACACTTGGTTGTGTAAAGGCTAGAGTTGCACTCTTAAACAAAAGGCCGAGCGATTCTGGGGACATCACTCGTACCAAATTCCCATGAAACTTCATGAAATCTCTTGCATCAGATCGCCGCGCCTGGGCAGCGATGATTCGAGATGTTCATGAAGCTGGCTCATGCTCCCTTAGGAGATAGCCGAAGTAAAGTAAAATAAAGTACACTGAGATTCATGCGTTTGGACTGAAGGAGGTAGTTTTTCATCTATATCATATGTACTAGTGCTTGCACTCCTAATGATAATGGTTATACACTTCGCTATACTAATGAGGACCGACCTAAAAGATTGTTGATACCTGTTTGTGACGCAAGAGTATTGCTGTTACCATTCGGCCAGCTCCAAAATGTTTAAGTCTTCTGCATAGAGGATCACTGGAAATTTGTTGAGCCCAGGTAGTTTCTTTGATACACAAGATAAATAAGGGGGTGTAAGTATGGTACAAAACTGCGTACCGTTGTTCAAGAAACTCGAATTTACCCTGACAATTTCTGTCCTACTTACAAGGAATTCATTGATACGGTTGAGCAGGCCGTCCGGAAAAACTATTGTGAAAGTCTATCATAAGACATAGGGCTGCTCAAAGCTTTTATTTCATCCATTCGAACGTCTAAAAAGCATGATGAAAAGTTATCTATTAATTGTTTCATAGAATTGCAACAGGATGGCTGATTCCAAATTTTGATTGCGTCTGACAGGTTAAAATAATATAATACACTGCTCGGGTAATCAACTGACTGAAGAATGCCAGATCTTTCTTCACGTAGATGTCAACTTAGTGGTGGATAATTTTCCAAAAAAAGTAACTGTGTGTCGCCACTGAAAACCAATAAATGGATACATAATCTTTGAATGTAGTTTCATTCTCATAAATCCATACAGAATTACAATTGTGATCTATTAATATGAAGGATACATATTCCCACTAAAGTCGACTTCATATTCAATTTTTCTCTGATTATCCTATCGATGAACAGTGCTTTTTAATGAATTCCAAATGGACTAGAACTACTGGTTTTCCTAGTGTATGTTTAGTAGCATGAAGAGTGCTCATTAGTTCTGAATTTCCCTCAGGATCTTTCGTTTCAAAGTGTGGTTATCGACTGCGCTATTCTTCTACTCACTTTATGGGTTTTTGTAGACTCAGGAAGAATTAAGGTATTTATGATATCTTTGTGAGATGAAGGATATCAAGGAGTACTCAGGGAACAATTGTATAGTAATCAGCGTATATATATCCTCCAACAGCTAATGTATTTGTTCTACATAAACCAGAAAACATAGAGAAAGTCTAATCAGAGCAACAGTTTGATCGTCCAAAATACCAAATATATTTCGGGATCAGATATGTATGGCAATGATGTTTCTGTGTGTGTGTGCTTAGTTAACCAGAGAACGGGCATAATCGGCCGGACATCGCAAAACGACAGCTTGCCAAAATGGCATGATCACCAGAACACATAGCTTCGTCTTAACCAGCCGACTTAAACAGTGAAGGTCAGCTAGCACAGAGTGATAATGAAAGCTGTAGGCTAATAATTTTGGAGGGACTGTTTACTGCCACATGCCTATCTTAGCCCTCAGCATTACAAACTGATAACTCACCCTGCCACGCTTTAAGTTTTCGCATTCATAAAGTATAGATTTTTCAGTCATTTAGAGTTTTAAAAACGAGGCTATTTTCAGTAAATAATTTATGAAGTATGATAGTGTAATACATTTTCTCATTATGCAAGTAAATCTCCGTCTGTGGTTCAGTGACAGAACTCCAAGCAGCCTTGTGGCAGATTCGGTTTCGATTTTCAGCCGTCTGGGGAAGTGTTTTACTGAAATTAGATTTTACAGTCACTTGAGCCGAGTTGTAAAATGTATGTCACTTACCATCAAGTAATTAGTTTTATGGCACAAGTCTGTTGATTTGACAGTTTGGATCACAGTTTATAGCAACATTTTACCTAATCTATTAATTTGGTTTCCCTTTTTTCATCTTTCTGCAATCAATACAGACAGTTTATTGATAAGGTGATTATTTTCCATCCACTAATCATAAATATGGTAAGTTTTTGAGTGATACCTTGAAGCTAACATAGATTGCCTGGCTAGCTTAGTTGTGCTCTTTATATATATATATATATATATATATATATATATTAACAAAGCCTGTACGTATTCAGTATGGAGGCATACTTCGGACCGACGACTAGACACTAGAAGATATGAACCTTTGATTGGACACTAGTAACTAGTGCCACGTGTCTAGTCCTTTCTTTGGTGCAGACTGAATTCTATCAGTCAGGTCTGCAATGTGGCCACCATTCTAGGTAGCTCGCCATCACAGTGCACATTGATTTGACTGCAGAACTGGGTGAAGTGGGTTTGAATCTCAGAAGAGAGATGAGTTCCTTCAAGGTTGCAGATACGCCTTGCTGACTGGTGAGTGCCAACTAGCACGAAACCTAGGTCAGGTAAGGCTTCCTGCCGATTGCCTCTAACCATCTAATATCATCAGATGTGAACCTTGCAGATTATTTATGTCTAGTGTCAAATAAACTTGAAGACCTACAGGTGAAAATAACCAAGTTGGCAGAATATTAAGCAAAGATAAGACTTCATGTGGACAAAGAGGAGACAAGTGCTGAAGATACGTAACCGGTGACAACAAACACCAATCACTATGAATAGTAGAAATTTAAAGGAAGTCATCTCTTTCGCTTAACTCCACAGCATTAGCTCAACTACAGGTGGTGTAACGACAGAAGACATGGGCTAGGCAACAGATCGTTTATTGAGAAAATCAAGAGATATTTATATATTTCTATGTATATTATTATTCGTTGT